AACAGACCTCAAACAACAGTTGCATCCCTCCCACTTCTATGGTAACTCTCAAACTGCACTTTCAGCAAGCACTGGAAACTACAGTGGTACCTCTGGTTGCGAACGGGATCCATTCCGGAGGACCGCTTCTGCGCATGCGCACTGAAACCCAGAAAAATATTTCCGGGTTAGCTGCGTTCATATCCCGAAGTTTACGTATCCAGAGGGATATGTAAGCAGAGGTACGACTGTAATTGCTAATCCTACTATTGGAGCATAGTGGAGCTACTTGTTCAGTTCATATGGAGTGCCAGTAATGCTCCAAAGGCCTAGCTAGGCCCACATGAACTGAGTGGACATCCTGAAGCCTCGAAAACATGCAGGGATGGCATGACAGAAACTTGGGGTTCCTCAGCCCAATTATATATGGAAAACATCCCTTAGAAAGTTGAGGGGGGGGAGGCAAAATCACTGTTTTAAGATATTTCTCTTATTAAAATTCTTTTTTTTTACTGAATTTATACCCCACCCTTCCTCCCCAAGGAGTTCAGGGTAGCAAACAGATACAAAGTTTAAAAACAAAAGGAAAGTGGTGGTGCTTTTACAATCATGTCTCTGCTAACTAGCTTTCTGTTGAAATTCTCTCTCTCTCTCTCTTTCTTTCTTATTGATTGAATTTATATATCGCCCTATACCCGGAGGTCTCATGGCGGCTCACAGAAAAGATCACAATATATAAAATAAAAATACAGTGGTACCTCGCAAGACGAATGCCTCGCAAGACAAAAAACTCGCAAGATGAAAGGGTTTTTTGTTTTTTTAGCTGCTTCACAAGACGATTTCCCCTATGGGCTTGCTTCGCAAGACGGAAACGTCTTGCAAGTTTGTTTCCTTTTTCTTAACACCGTTAATACAGTTGCGACTTGACTTTGAGGAGCAACTCATAGAACGTGGTGTGGTAGCCTTTTTTGAGGTTTTTAAAGACTTTGGTGATTTTTGAAGCTTTTCCAAAACTTTCCCGGCACCGTGCTTCGCAAGACGAAAAAAATCGCAAGACGACAAAACTCGCGGAACGAATTAATTTCGTCTTGCGAGGCACCACTGTAACCCAATAACACCTCCCCAAAAGAGCCACATTTTAAAAGAGTATAGGATGTCAATCAGATCAACCAAAGGCCTGGTTTAAAAAGTTAACGTTTTTGCCTGGTGCCTAAAGGTGTATAATGAATGTTCTTAAGGAGACTGTGGCCCTCTGAAACATTAAGCCAGAAATAACCATTTGTTCCATTTTGTGATTTCAAGAATGAACAGAAGTAAAAACACTGCTATGCAGAGCTCAGGCCAAAAGCCAGGGTCAAGGAGTGCTCTTTCAGAGGTCCCCATGGGCAAGTCTCTGCAGCTAACTTTGGGCTAACTCATGGAGAAGGCGGAAGGGTGGCTGTTTGAGCAGGCCTTGCGCCAAGCCAGCCTCTCAGATCAGCCACTCAGCTGCAGCCACGTCCCAGTTCCACGGTTCCAGTTCCCACAACCGCTTGACATAATGTGGGATTATTATTTTTTAAGTATCCTAGGAATGTTAAAAATATATGATCAAGGCAGTGGGAAGTGGGAGGTCATGCTAGGGGGGGAGAGGGACAAGAACCCAATCCCTTGGGTAATTTTTGTATTTTCCATCTACCCTTTCATTAATAGTCAACGCAGCATTGTTGCATGTGGAGAGAGAAGGGCCACAAATCACACCCAAGCAGACCCTATGCCAGAGCATTATAAACAAAAAGTTCTGTACCTATCCAGTAACAAATAAATATAGTAGTAAGTTTCATATGACTGCCCATCGACAAACATTCCCTGGGGGGCTCGCAAATATTATGGTATCAAAAATGTAACACAATGTGCTCGCTTCGGCAGCACATATACTAAAATTGGAACGATACAGAGAAGATTAGCATGGCCCCTGCGCAAGGATGACACGCAAATTCGTGAAGCGTTCCATATTTTTCTGGAATGTAAACGGGTTGAACGAGAAAGTTAAAAGGAATAAAATTGAGAAAGTTTTGAAGGAAAAAAAAATGTAACACAATAGTTAAAATCAATAAAAAACAATAAGAGACAGCAAAATATTTCCTTCTAACAGAGACAGCATAAACTGATTACAGCTTCTGTTGAAATGCAGACATAACAGTTCAAGGTTAATTTTACTACAAAACCCTGCAGCAAGAAAAAACAGAATTCAGCCACCTGGTTGCTCAGGACCTTTAAAAATGTGGTGATTTATGTCCTCTCCTTCCACCGCAGAGCTTAGGGTGTTGTTCATGGCTCTCCCTATGCCCTCTCATTTTATCCTCCTAACAACCCTGTGAGGCAGGCTAGGCTGAAAGAGTGGCTGGCCCAAGATCACCTAGCGGGCTTCCTGACAGACCAGGAGGATTTGAACTCAAGTCTCCCCAGTCCAAATCCCATACTCTAATCAAAACACAACACTAGCACAAACGTCTTAGGCAAACCGTTGGTCTACTATTGGCTTCTGCCAACCGTTCAGGTATCTGAAAACTCACCCCTTTCCTTATTTTTCTTTCCTCTAGGAGGAATGTGTGTCATTCTTTTGGCTTTTCCACATACTATATATAGGACTTCCAATAAATAACATTTTGATTAAGTCCCTTACCAAATATACACGAGTAAGCCCAGTGCTCATGGAATGTGCAGATGTCCTACAACTCCCATCAGCCGCAGCATCATATGGTCATGGTGACTGGGGCTAATGGAAGTTCTAGTTCAAAACAGCTGGAGCGCACCAGGTTCACAAAGCCACACTGATCAAAACTAGGGAGATGTGTATGGTGGAAGCAATGTGCACAGCTGGCCTCAATTTATTAATTCGTTTATTCGTCCACTCACTCACTCATTAGGCATTTATCCATGCACAGTGACAACTGCTCTCTGGCTAATGAAAAAACATGCTTTAAAAAGTTAAAAATCACAAAATCCATGTACAGTGGTACCTCGGTTTAAGAACAGCCCTGTTTACGTACTATTCGGTATACAAACTCCACAAAACCGGAAGTAGTGTTCCAGTTAGCGAACTTTACCTCGGTCTATGAACGGAAGCTGAACGGTAGAAGGGCACCGGCGGTGGGAGGCCTCATTAGGGAAAGCGCGCCTCAGTTTAAGAACGGCTTTGGTTTAAGAACGGACTTCCGGAATGGATTAAGTTTGTAAATCGAGGTACCACTGTAAAACTGTATCAACAAGATGAGGGGGGGATGGATTTTTAATTGTAAAAAGCTTCTTTAAATCTTTTTACCAAACAACCCCCCCAACAAATCCTCATAAATAAAATTCTTTTTTAGAAGCACTAACACTAAAACATCTGCTTTATTTTATGCCATTTGATTTTGATTTTGTTGCTTATATGTTGTTTTATTGCATGCCATTCTGAAATTGTTTTTCCCATAAAAAGGGATAGAAATGTAATAAATAAATACATACATAAAAAAGGTAAAGGTACCCCTGCCCATACGGGCCAGTCTTGCCAGACTCTAGGGTTGTGCGCTCATCTCACTCTATAGGCCGGGAGCCAGCGCTGTCCGCAGACACTTCCGGGTCACGTGGCCAGCGTGACAAGCTGCATCTGGCGAGCCAGCGTAGCACATGGAATGCCGTTTACCTTCCCGCTGGTAAGCGGTCCCTATTTATCTACTTGCACCCGGGAGTGCTTTCGAACTGCTAGGTTGGCAGGCGCTGGGACCGAACGACGGGAGCGCACCCCGCCGCGGGGATTCGAACCGCCGACCTGACGATCGGCAAGTCCTAGGCACTGAGGTTTTACCCACAGCGCCACCCGCGTCCCTTAAATACATACATACATACAGTCATTTTAAATCAGAGAAGTCTACAAACCATGACAAGCAGCCATGCAAGTCCTACAAAGTTATACAACCATATTAGCAACCACCCAGCAAAATGCAACAGATTTAAAAAACAGAGTTTAAAAGGCCCGTGAAAATAATAATAATAAAAAAATTCCTTGTGTCAAAGAGTCATTAAAATAGGTGCTGGGACAACCCCTCTGCAGAAGGTACTCCAAAACTGAGAGGCTGCTCCTGAGAAGGCCCTTATCACCTTAAATATTCTCCAGTATCTGTGCAGGTAGATCTCATCTTAGGTTGATTTTATATGCGTGATCACAGCTTTATGCCAATAACAGGAAAATAAATATATGGGATAGAAGAACAGGGAAACCCCCTGGAAGGGTCATCTGAGATCTCACAAAATCTCACAAGACCTCGTTGGAGCCTTACAGGACCTTCCAGAGTCCTCATGCAACTCAGAGGTGGTTTTAGGGTAGCATGATTGGTTCAGCCAAACTGAATGCTGCACTGTAGGGGGCGCTACAACAATGCTGTAGCATGGAGCACGAAAAAGGGTCGGGAGCAGGGAGAGAGCCAAATTTTAAGGTGTCTCAGAGCACTGCTGAAATTTGAGAGCCCAAAGTCTGCTACTGCACACCATTCCCAGTTCCTGGTAAGCAAGGAGGGCAGTTTAAAAAAGCTCCCCATCTTGCATGGGGGGCAAGGCCTGCTCAATGCAGCTTTAGACACATAGCGTTTTAGGAGTCATTCTGGCTTTGCACAATTTTGCTTATATACAGAATAGCCAGGAATGTAACCCCTGCATGTAATGAGACCTGCCCAGACACTTTTGAAACATAGCAATAAAAATGAAGCATCACTTTCCAGCTGAAATTTGACCGCCACAGGTATTCTGCTCTACAATGGGTTAAGTAGAGCACCAGTCGCCTCACTTCTGGTGAGTCACAGCATCACTACTTTTGCAGTCCATTATAACCTGCGGATTCCCCAAGTATTCCAAATTTTCCCCTTCATTTACACATTTAGACCTTCAATTCATCAAAATGCCATGCACGCAGTGAAAGCACCCCAAGGGGCAGGCCTCAAAATCCAACAGGGACACAAGTTAAGGCATTTTTTTGCAAGAGGCCATAAAAGCACGCGACTTACCACAAGAGCAGCATGTAAAGCAGTTGGTGTGGTAGAGGTTCCCCATGGCCTGGCAAGCCTGGCTGGCCCCGTATACCCCCTTTCCGCACTTGATACAAATGCCTATGGAGAAGAGAGAGAAGGAAAATTAGAACCCAGTAGAAATCCAGCTAACAGCTGCAAACGCCTGACCAGCAGGCACTACCAACCCATGAAGCCACTTGTTCTTATTGCTCAATAGGTGCCAGGAGTTATATATTTAATTGCTCCAAGGAGCTCAAGGTGGTCAACATGGTTCTCCCCCTCCTCATTTAATCCCCACAACAACCTTGTGAGGTAGGTCAAGCTGAGAGGCAGTGACCCAAGTCCCAAGGTCACCTAGGGTGCTTCATGGCCAAGTAGGGATTTGAAACCCCGTTTCTCCCAGGTCCTAGTCCGACACTAACCACTACATGAGTGCTCTCCAACCTTGGGTCCCCACTACAACTCCTATCATTCCCAGCCAGTTTAGCCAGTGGTCAGAGATTATGGGAGTTGTAGTCCAACAACATATGGGGACCCAACACTGCACTATCCCACACAGGCTCTCAGTCATGTATTTCAGCATGGAAAGTTGCAACTATTAAGTGCTAGAAACTGCTCCCGCCCCTTTGTTCCTTAAGAAGAAAAGAAAAGTCAACACAACACACACAAAAGCTAAATTTCCAAAATTTGAATTCTGAGAGGGGTAGCCAATGCCGCTCAAGACAGAATCAGGATTCTAAATGATCTTAAGAGATTGGAGAACTGGGTCCCAACTAACAAAATGAATTGCAATACGGATGAATGTAAGAATAAGATGGGGGACACCTCGCATGCCAGCAGTAAATGTGAAAAGGATCCAGAGGTTTAGTAGACCACAAGCTTAACGTTGAGTCAACCATGCGATGCAGCAGCAAAAAAAGGCCAATGCTATTTTAGGCTACATCAACAGAAGTATAGTGTCCAGATCAAGAAATAATAGTACCACTCTCTTCTACCTTGGTCAGACCACACCTGGAATACTGTGTCCAATTCTGGGTGCCACAATTTAAGAAGGATGTTGACAATGGCTTCAAGTTACACAATAGGAGATTCTGACATCAGGAAGACCTTTCTGCTGGGAAGAGATGTTCTGACAGTGGACCCATGAGAGGTGGTGGACCCTACTTTCTTGGAGTTTTTAAAACAAAGGTTGGATGGCCATCTGGCATATATAATCTAGTTGCAGGGGGCTGGAGTCCCTTACAATTCTATGATTCATGGCTCAGCCTATCTGCTCAAAACAGAACTTGCATGCCACAGACATGGGGGAGTAGGGCTGAGGCAGAGCTGTGTCATTTTGCAACACCATCTATCTATGTATGGAGCGTTTCAGGCTAACATAAACAAAGACATACTGGCCCTATCTTGAGATTCCAACTGTAGGAGAGGCCACTGGCGGAATTAGCAGATGCAGCAAAGAGGGCTTGGTCTTCATTTCAGCTGAGGCGGAGGGGCAAAGGTGTAGTCAGCCAAAAGAAGGATGGAAGAGGTGGCTTTGAAGAAAGGCTGGAAGAACATGGATGTCCTGGGAGAAGTTCTAGGCATAAGGGACACCAAGGGAGAGTCAGAATATTGAAGGAGAGGAGGGCTTTTGTAGGAGTATAAGGTAGAAATATTGGGGAAAGCATGACTGGGAAAAGCTACCAAGACACTGGTTGGTTCTGTTCCTTTCTGTAGGGGTGGTGGGCTTATTAGAAACAACCCATCCCAAGAAGCCAATTGAATCCAACAGATTCCCAAGAGCCCTTAGGGAGTTTCCATCAGGTATGGCGTCAACAGCCCTAGCCATTCTGTGGGAGGTGAAAGACTTGTGCAGTTGACACCATTGCTCCTAAGTGGACTCTTGTTATAAAGAGAGTAATTGACAGTTGACTGCAATACAAGTTGAATGTTCATAAACTCAGTAAACTGCAGTTGAAACCCACTTTACAGCTTGACACATGCAACTGGCACATATACTGATACATACAGGAGCTTTCGCTGTTGTGTTTCTCTGCATTGTGGAGTGTCCTTCCCCAACCTTGGAAGGACGGATGGTGATGAGTCTAAAGGGATTCCACCATCAAGTAAAAATAATCTTCTTGTTCCATGAAGTTGGGAGTAAAATAGTAAACGCACCCTGTGGTTTTAGTATTCCTATGTTGCTGTTGTTGGTAGTTTATCTGGCTGGTTACACCATTGTGGTGTATTTGAAGTACAGTGGTACCTCTGGTTACGTACTTAATTCATTTCGGAGGTCCGTTCTTAACCTGAAACACCACTTTAGCTAATGGGGCCTCCCACTGCTGCCGCGCCACTGTGCGATTTCTGTTCTCATCCTGAAGCAAAGTTCTTAACCCGAGGTACTATTTCTGGGTTAGCGGAGTCTGTAACCTGAAGCGTCTGTAACCTGAAGCGTCTGTAACCCGAGGTACCACTGTATTGCTAGAAACTGCCCCACTCTACAATTTTAGAAAATAATAATACTACATTACACATGTCTACCATCATGTCTAAAGACCCAGGTAGCAATGGAAGCAATGGAAATGAGATCTTCCAAAAGGAGGTGTTTATAATTCCCAAAGAGGAATATGCAATACATACTGTGTAGAACAGCCCAGGAAATGTCACCATACAATTACACTGGAGCACAGTAGTGTACAAGCAACACTGCTCAATGCTGCCTCAGCTGAAGTTTTTGCCCTATTAACTAAGTTTATTTTTGGCCATGCAAACAGCTCTTTTAGAGTCCTCTGGCACCTCGCTGCCGCCATCTGCACTCTTTCAGAATCTGAGCACATCAGTGACTGACTGACTGCTGCTACTGACATTTCAAGCCAGGAGAAACAACCCCTTTGATTCTCCTGTTCTCATTCCAAAGATGGCAGAAGTCCATTTCCTTGCCTTTTGAGAGCTCATTCACAAACACAGCTAGATGCTGCCCATCCTTTTGCAAATTCATTGACAGTGCTCTCTCTCCTGGGAAACACTGTGGCATGAGGATCTGTTGCCCATTACCCCTGCTTCCAAAGCCATTAGTCCAACGGGAGCAGATCACTGGCAATTTCAATTCATTTCACCAAAAAACACAGCACTGAACAGCTGCCAGGTTGAAAATTATGTAGCTTAAGCAAGGTGTATTATAAATAATATAACAGGGATGTACTGCACACCCTGCTGCACACCCTCCCTAAGTGTTATAGGCTTTAACAACAGCAGGAGCAGTTTTCCAGCTTTTTAGTTCTGGGCAGCATTTCATACTGTAAACAGAGGCAGTCTTTGGAATAAGGCACAACCATAGACCAAACATTATTTGTGTCAGTTCAACAACTATACAGAAGGATCTTTTACTACTAAATCAATTAAGGGTGCATTCAGATGTGGGGAATATTGGATTCGTTTTTCTGATGATAATGCTCTGCACTTCTGTCGTCCTGTTTACAAATGTTCCTCTCACACTGCAGTACCTATTGTGATATGAAACTGGGACTGTTCAACTAGTATGCCAGCATGTCACATTGAATTTCACCACACCAGTGGGTGTGGTATGAAACAATAATGAACATCACTGGAAAACGTCACCCACCCTCATCCCTTCCACACATGCACGCTTCTTCTGTTCACCATGAAAACAGCAGGAAAAAACTGTATGCTGGTATACCACCTCAAATTTCACTATTTTACTCCCATGATTTTCAGGGTTAAGAGGACTGCAAATGGATATTTTCTGGAATCAAATAACATGGAAATGAACATGAGCAACATCCTGTTAGTTCAAATATAATGTGGAAACCTAAGAGTTAGGGAAACTTTGGGGAAATTGAACAACAGTCTATCAGAGGAATAAAACAAGGTTGCCTAATGGCAATTATCCTGTTTAATAATTATATAAATGACATAGTCCATATACTGGAAACAGAGGATGTGGGCTCACCTGTTACATACGGCAGAAAGGTTTAGAATTTAATGTATGCAGATAAACTAGTGTTAATATCTCTTACCTGGTTAGGTGTGAAGAAACTACTTAAGAAAGATTATAGTATATTACAAAGAAGATAATTATATTGAATCCAAAATAATGTTATTTGGACATTGCTCACCAAAACATAGATGGGCACACAATAGAACAAGTTTATATGTGCAAGAATTTGGGTATTCCCTTTGAAGAGAATTTATACAGTACTGGAAAGCACACTGGGAGTCTAGCCAAGCAAGTGAGTGGAGCAATACAAAGGTTTCCCTCCACCCCCCACCCCCCCAACACAAAAGTGTAAGAGAAGTCAACCCCTGCTTTGAAAACATTTCAAGCCAAGGTGATTTCCCAACTGCTGTAGGGCTCAGAGATGGGGCGGGGGAATAAAATGTGGATTAAACTACTAGAAATAGAACAGATTTTTTTTTTTTAAACGAAGACTGTTAGGTCCCTCACCTCCGAGAATGCCGGCCTCTGTCCCTTGGCCATAGATGGACTGGGCCACCACTGAATTAAGGACAGAAGTGGCACTATTGAAATCTCATAAGCATATATACCTCTCATCAGAAGAATGGGACATCATCTTTCAAGCAATATGGGAAGTCAATGTGAAATTATTCTAAATCTATTAAAAAAGCATAATCTGCAAGAATCATTTAAGCTCACTTAGACAAAAAAAGAACCAGGGAACAGGTTTTTACAGCTTAGAATTAATGCAGAAACCGTCTGGCCCTGTTAAGAGCTTTTGAACTTAAACAGAGAAAGGTCTTAACTTATTTTGCATGAATAACCCTTATAGAAAATTGGTTATTTTGTCTCTCCTCCTCTGCCTCCCCACTCCCCAACCCACTTCCCACACTGTCAAGATAAAGAAAGTAAAATCCTTGTGGCTGGGACCTGCCCTTTTTAAAAAGTCTACAATATACTGTATAACACCACATACAGTTATATAAATAAAATGTTTATTGATAATTTAAATAGGACTCTGAGTCTTAACATACTTAACAGAAAAAAAATGCAGAGCATGCATACATATTAAGCCGGCACTAACTTTGCTTCAGGAGCAATCTAAGTTTCTTCTTCTGAATAACACAACACTGCATTCCTG